TATATATATATTTATATATATATATATATATATATATATATATATATTTTTTTTTTTTTTTTTGGGGGGGGGGTTGATTCCCCACTGTCACTGAGCCTCTAAAGAGGCTACTGGCCTTAAAGTGCATGTTTATGGGCAAGTTACCTTTGTATACTGAAATTTTTTGATGAGACTACTAGTACTGGTATGATTTTCAGTGTTTAAGGGAAATTTTCTCATTTTTTGTTAGCTTGTTGAAGAGGCTACTAGCAGGACAGTCAGTGTTCACAGGGATATTCCCTGTTTGTTTTGAGCTTTTTGAAGAGGTTACTAATGGCATGCAATGTTTAATGTCAGCATGAAGTAAATGGCTGAGGTTATTAAACACGTTTGAACATAGACACTGGTGGCATACTATCTTTGACACCAGTACAAGGTTTTATGGTTTTGTGTGAGAAAATATTGGTAAAGCCTAGGTTACATTTACACTTTTCCAATTTCGCATTTCCTTAAAATAATCAAGATCATGGTTGCAAATATTTGTCTTTCATGCTTTGCCTAGACTACCTTAAGAAAATAAGTTCCTTGACTGCTTTGACTGGTTGCCGTAAAAGATGCTGGACCGATGATCCAATGCTTATGGATAGAACAAAAACTCTTCGACCTTTTCAAAAAGTCTTTGGACTCAGGCCAATAGGCTGGTGTTAATTTGGAACACTTGTTACCTCTGATTCTATGATTCTATTTCCAGTAATCATCCAGTAGAAGATGTCCCCAGTGTTAGCAGCAAGCAGTATTCAGTTTGGTCCAGTGTATGTGGTGTCCTGTGTGGCTGTCACCCTGATTCTCGTGGTTCTTTTACTGCTGTGTGTGTGCACAGAGACCAAACAAGACAAGCAGTAAGAGTTCATGAGTGGATGTTATTTAAGGGTTAACAGGGTAGTCTTTTAAGGGTGTTGGGTGTAGTTTATTCTGAACTTCTGAATTACTAGGATTGTAATCTTGAGACTTTGTTTCTATATCTGGCAATGTTTGTGATAGCCAATCTCCAATTTCTGCAACTGTGCATATAATGTCATTCTTCTAGGTAAAATTCATCTCCATTCACTGTATAGCTGAACTGTATGGTATTATATGATGAAATAAGATACGGTAGAGGACAAAATATATATAACACAACATGTTATGATATGTCATGATACAATACAATGCATTGCAGTGCAATATAATTGCAATGAATATACTTCAACAAAACAATTTTCAATTACAATGTGATGAAATATGATATGAATTATAAATCATTCTTTCTTTTTTAATCTCAGACCGGCCAATGAGTTAGAATTACAAGAGAAGAGGCCTGTCTCAGCTGTAAGTAAACAGTCATGGACATCTCAGATTACACATTCACATGTTTCAATCCTAACTCCTTTTACAAGAAGTATTTTCATTATAAAGGAAGTTTTTTTTTTATCTTATACTTTACAATTCAGTCTGGTTGAGGACATTCCTGTGAACTTGCATACATAGTAGTGTTTTCAAGATTCTTTATATGAACACACAAAGTGCTGGCTTCATCTTTCATTGCTGATGTGTGACTTTTAGTACATATATTCAAAGCACTTAAAAGGCAATGTGAGTGTACGTTTTACAAGGATTTCCTGTTACAGGATGCCAACGATGTTAGAGTCAGTGTGACAGAAGAGGCAGAGACAAAAGAGAAAAATGGCAGGGTGACCAATGGCAACGAATCTCAAAATGGCAAGAAAACACGGTAGGTACAGTTGATGTGGAACTGAGTCCTTCCAGGGTCAACTTATGTATATTTNGAAAGGTATTGAAGAAAAAAAAACATTTTGAGATTTTAATTCAGTGTTATTTCACATTTTACGACATCCAGATATTGCATATGGGACAAGTCATTTTGACTTGTAGTTTTTAATTGAAATTTTATTTAAGACTCTAAAAGTTTAGTCTCCCTCTGTTCTTTTCTATTGTGGTTTTGTATTGTGGTTCCCAGGAATGACTCGAGAAGCTCCCAAAATGCAGCCACCTTGGATCGCGCTCTGCCAGCCATTCCCATCACCCCACCGTCCGATGTTTTTCAAGAAGAAGAAGAAGAGGACAGCGAGAATTACGATTTGATTCAACGTGGAGGAGACAATGCCGCGGACGAAGGAGAAAGTCCTTATGACCTAGTTGGTACTGACTCGAAGCGGGAAAACCCGTATGCCAAGGTCAAAGGTGCAAACGGTGGAGGAAAGGACTCAGTTGATCCATATTCCAAGGTCAAGGGGAAAGGAGAAGATCCTTATTCCAAGGTCAAAGGTGAAGCATCTTCATCCTATGACCCGTATTCTAAGGTCAAAGGTGATCTAGAGAACACGTATGAGAAAGTTGAGGATGATAAGAGAGCTAAAAATGGAAAGAAAGAGCCGCCATATGGTAAAGTGAAAGAACCTGTGAGGGAGCATCAGTACGCTGAGGTCAAAGGCCAGAGGGAGCATGTGTATGCCGAAGTCAAAGACAAGAAAAAGAATCCCCCAATCGCAGCCTTTGGGGACTCAAATGACATTGATAAACATCGAAAAAGACCAACATCACAACCAGTGGTATCAGAGTATGTGGGAGATCCTGACTACGAACTTCCACCAGTGCCAATAAAAAACTTTGGTGAGGAGGAAGATGTGAGCAGTGATCAAACAGACCCCTCCTCACCACCTAATGGAGCTGTCAATCAAACCCTGGCAACTGCCAATCAAAGTCCCACTCCTCCTCAAGCCCTGCCCTCAGCCCCACCTATTTCCCCGCCCCTTCCTGCTCCTACTGTCATGGTATCTGCAGCTTCATGGAATGGTGAAGGTAAGCAGAATTTGTGGAGAACTTGGTTAATATTTTTCTTGTTATATGTAGAATATAATACAACAGATTTTAGTATAATTATTCTGTAACAACAGCATAATAGAAATAAATCAGTTTCTTTTTATCATCATCTTCCAATATGTGATGAAAAATTGTTGATGAATAAAGTAAATAAATCATGACAAATTATTACGAACTAACTAATATTTTTTGTCAAGATTTATTTGCTTTTTTCACTAACAATTATCTAAATGTGTGGATTTCTAACATTTTCTTCAGTAATATCCATGCACAATCTACTCTCAGCTGCACTCTCAACTGCAAAAATTATGATATATAATTGTAACGATAATTTTATAATTATATGCACCTGTTATGTTCTAGTGGACACAGATCCATCTTACACTAAAGTGACGGCCAGGGAATCTTTGGCAAGTATACGAGCTCGTGAAGCCCAGAGAGAGGCTAACGAGGAAGATTTTTACGAGTCTGTGACAGACGCTGATGATTCTGTAGAAGATGACTACTGTAAGGTACAGATGAGGATTAATGTGGTAGCATATTTATAGATAAGATACACATAGGCAATCTTGAATTGATTTACCAATGAGTAATCATCAAAATATCTGTTGAAATGTGATCATGGTAGTTTAAATGTACAGCAGAGTGAAAAAAAATGGTTATGATCAATGACATATTTTGTCCATGTTACAATCCATAAAAAAGAAAAAAAATCAACACTTGGGTATGCTCCCAGTTAAATAGTCCTTAAACATCAAAGTTGTATGGAGTTTGCTTTATTTTCATATTGTTATATATGTATATTGTAAACTTTACACACTAGGTTAATGACACAGATCTGCCGCCCCCTATCCCCACCACGGAGAGGAGTCCTCTGGCCAAGTCCAAGCATCTGTTTAGGGAGAGTGTGACCAGTGACCTGTATGCAGAAATAGCTCCATCAGGTTTGTAGATTAAAGAAAAAAATACTAGACTAGAATTATATTGTGTGCAGAAATCCCTCCATCAGGTTTTGTGGTTAAAGAAAAAATACCAGACGAATTATATTGTGTGCAGAAATCGCTCCATCAGGTTTGTAGATTAAAGAAAAAAATACTAGGACTTGGAATATGTTGTGTGCATAAAAAGCTCCCTCAGCTTTGTATGATAGAGGAAAAATAAGACTAGATCCGATACATATTGTTTAAAAATAGAATGTTCAGGTTTGTGTTATAAATGTAAAATAATAGACAATATAAATTAAAAAAAAATTAACATACTGCCTGAGCAGTGCTCTAGGCAGTTTTATCCAAAATTACTTCATTTACAGTTTCTACCACTTCTGCCAATTTCATTCTAATTAATGTTATTCCACTTATCAAGGCCAAGACTGTCAGTGAAAAGCTATGATTGGTTGACTGACAGCTTGTTTTGTGTTCCAGGCTCTACGCGGAGCTCTGCATATGCTTCTGTCAGAGGAACGAAGGAAGATGAAGAAGAGGGTAAGAGTATGAATGTGTTTTTGTTACCCAATCATTTTTAATCCTTTATATATAAAGCAAAATTTACCAAAGAGTGGTTAGCTAGCTCATAAGCATCAATTATAATTAAATTGCAAACCAAAACATGAGTTGTTCAGTAAAATAGGTACTTCATAGTGTAGTAATGATAAAAAAGTTGAACATTTCTGCAGAGACTGATCATTTTTCACCTATATTATTTCTACCCTATATTACATGATTACTCATCATATGATTCTGTTATCTTGCGTAATTGGTAAAAAAAAATATAAGCTCATAGACCCTTCTTTCTCAGACTTGTTATCAGTCATTGCTTGGTAAATATTTTGAAGTCTTGGCCTTTATAATTTAAGAACACATCTAAAGTAAATCTAGCTTAGTATGAGTATGCACAGTTGTAGTTATCTTTATTTGTGTAGCCACATACACAGCGTTATTTTATTTTGTGTCATTTTCTTCCTAGCAGAGGACTCCTCAGAACCTGGCTATTCAAAAATCAAACACAAGCGGCCACACACAGCATTTGAATTTCCCACAGCTCCCACGGCTGCTGCAGCAAAAAGTGAAGGTCACAATCAAAACAACTCGTTCCTGTACGCCAAAGTGGACAAGAAAACAAAAAATAGAGACAAGCTAGAACCTGTAAACGGCACAAACACTGCAACAAAAATTTGCGATGTGTCGGAACCAGATCCGTATGATAATATCAGCCCGAGTTATCTGATGGAACCAGGACCAGTGTTACGTTGTGTTGAGAATGGGGCAAACAACGATGACATCAACACAGCTGATGCTGGGTATCAAACTGTGACTGATGTATTTGGAGGTCAAGGTCAAGAGGATGACCTTGACATTGACCCCAATTATGCCACTATGGGTGACACAGAGGGATTGGGACCTTCACCCCAACAGAGTCAACCTATTAATGATTCAAACCCAAAGCATCAAAATAAGCATTTATCAAAGACTAAAACAGCTGCAGAGTCTTCTGTCCTGCCTCCGGATGAAGAACCACCAGAGGGCATGATTCACATTAGCCAAGCTAAGCTCAGTCCCACACCTCTGACCAAAAGGCCAGTGCAGCATGTGTACCAGGAGATCGACATGAAGGGGGAGGTGGAGCCCCCTGCTACACACCTATAGGTGTCACCACGGTCATCAAACATGACACAGTGGTGGGAATTTTTCTCTTCTTAATTTTGAGTTGTGAAAACTTGATGTGGAACTTTCAGTGTCATTTTCTTTTTCATCCTGTAGCTGTCACTTTAACATATCCTTTTACCAACCTCAAGGAGATGTTTCTGTGAAGGACTTTGAAACGACTGTTCATGTAACTGTTGTAGACATATATGGCACAACAATACATGGCACTGTTGTAGCTATAGACATCTATTACACACTTAAAGGTGTCATTCCTGTAGATATTTTAGCGAGTGCTGCACTGCATTGATATTGTGGTGTTAACTGAAGTGATTTAAATCATTTACAGACTGCAACGTAGTTTTTAAGAAATGTTTGGATATGATGTCATGGAAGTATTATGTATAATGGGTGTGCATTGGCTCCTTTTTGCATTTGTAATATCACGAGGGAAGAAATATTTTACATTTTTTTAATTATGGGACAAATTTAGAAATAAGTATAGATATCTCTTTTATTCTATAAATAGATTAAGATATCTCTTTTATTTTATTTCTCTAGGTATACATAATGCACATATTTAATTCGTTACCNCAATGTAGACTAAAAAGAACAATCATTTTTGCGTGTTCAGTATGTTTATAGTTGTTACATAAGCAGCTGTGAAGTAATTGGAATGAAGCTTCTTTGCTTTTAGATGTGGCTAAATTTTCCATTATTTAAAAAAGCACACATTTTCTATTTTTGATGATGCATATTAGTTGGTTTTATCAAAAAGGCCGAATGGCTTTAAGTAGAACAGGGTGAGTGAGCCTTGTTAACTGTAATATAGTAAGCAGTATGTATATATTGTATTGATGTAATGATCACATATTATTTATTTATGCAAGCACTTAACTGTGGCTTAATTTACATATTCCTGGTGCCATTAAAGATAGTAGAAATAGTGCATGTTTATTGACAGCAGTAAAACTCTCCAAGTTGCGGAATAATAGAAAGATTCAGGGTTACAACCCCTAAATTTCCTAACTTGCAGATGTGTTTCCACCCCACCCACTCCTCCCTGTAATATCTACCCCTCCCCGCAAGTATAACCTTGGATCCACTGGAGAGGAGAGTTTTGTAGTTTTGTATAACTTTTATGGCTACATTTGTATGGGTTGCTTATATTTATATTGGCTCTTAGCCACTGCGGTGCAGCAAAAGCTCTCTTAGAATGGATCATCTACTTTTCTTTTACTCAGAATGATGTAGTAGGTTGCTAGCTTTAATGTTACCACATGTGGTGCGTCTTTAAGTTACAGGGGCGAGTTTGTAAGTCAGTCAAAAAAACAATGAAAAGGACCCGTTTTAAACTGTATTTATTTCATGAATGGGACAAAAACATCTTGTAAGGGTAAACTACTGATACCGTAATACAAGTCCATTGTGTCAGTCGGCTATTTCCCGTTAGTATTTCGCTCCCTATACTTTTACTAGCTTCAGGCTGCGTTGAACGTTGTGCAATATTGTCGCTTGTTGTTTTTGTCTGTTTTGCTTTGAGAGCAGCAAAATATAGTTATGTTCACGTCAACACTGCATTTATGTCGATAGGTGTTAGTAATAGAAATACAAATTCCAGAAATGTAAAACAATGATTTTTTTATTATTATTATTATTTTGAATAAATCCTCAAACGTATTGTGTTGTTCGTTTAATGTCACAGTACAATGGTTTGTGATGAGGAATGCTGAAGGAGGTCAAATTTCAGTGTATTCAGATGTCAGAATAATGTGACTTATTTCATATCTAGAAGTGAAACACTTCAGAATGACATTGAGATGTTTTTTAATTACTATTATTATGCTTAGATATAACAACTTATCAAAGCTCGTGATAAAATTGATTTTATATCAATAATATTTGTTATTGCAACTAAGAGTTGGACATGAAAGATTGATAAGAATAACCAAAACAATTGAGTATCCAGTGAGACAAAGGAAGATTTCACTATTAAAATATAAAATCAATGTGTAGCTTTAAAAAATTCATAACATAAATGAATTAAATTATTAAAATAGTAAATCAATCAGTTTCTTTTAAATAGTTAAAATTAATGAATTTTATACAATAAAATTATGTTACGAATGAGATGAAGCGCGAAAACTAGAATGAGGTACAATTGCAGCTACGTACGTTTGAAATTTAAACGCACGCGNTATCGCCTCTCTGATCCTCTAGTTTATTTATGCAAGCACTTAACTGTGGCTTAATTTACATATTCCTGGTGCCATTAAAGATAGTAGAAATAGTGCATGTTTATTGACAGCAGTAAAACTCTCCAAGTTGCGGAATAATAGAAAGATTCAGGGTTACAACCCCTAAATTTCCTAACTTGCAGATGTGTTTCCACCCCACCCACTCCTCCCTGTAATATCTCCCCCGCAAGTATAACCTTGGATCCACTGGAGAGGAGAGTTTTGTAGTTTTGTATAACTTTTATGGCTACATTTGTATGGGTTGCTTATATTTATATTGGCTCTTAGCCACTGCGGTGCAGCAAAAGCTCTCTTAGAATGGATCATCTACTTTTCTTTTACTCAGAATGATGTAGTAGGTTGCTAGCTTTAATGTTACCACATGTGGTGCGTCTTTAAGTTACAGGGGCGAGTTTGTAAGACAGTCGAAAAAACAATGAAAAGGACCCGTTTTAAACTGTATTTATTTCATGAATGGGGCAAAAACATCTTGTAAGGGTAAACTACTGATACCGTAATACAAGTCCATTGTTTTAGTCGGCTGTTTCCCGTTAGTGTTTCGCTACCTATACTTTTACTAGCTTCAGGCTGCGTTGAACGTTGTGCAATATTGTCGCTTGTTGTTTTTGTCTGTTTTGCTTTGAGAGCAGCAAAATATAGTTATGTTCACGTCAACACTGCATTTATGTCGATAGGTGTTAGTAATAGAAATACAAATTCCAGAAATGTAAAACAATGATTTTTTTTATTATTATTATTATTATTTTGAATAAACCGTCAAACGTATTGTGTTGTTCGTTTAATGTCACAGTACAATGGTTTGTGATGAGGAATGCTGAAGGAGGTCAAATTTCAGATGTCAGAATAATGTGACTTATTTCATATCTAGAAGTGAAACACTTCAGAATGACATTGAGATGTTTTTTAATTACTATTATTATGCTTAGATATAACAACTTATCAAAGATCGTGATAAAATTGATTTTATATCAATAATATTTGTTATTGCAACTAAGAGTTGGACATGAAAGATTGATAAAAATAACCAAAACAATTGAGTATCCAGTGAGACAAAGGAAGATTTCACTATTAAAATATAAAATCAATGTGTAGCTTTAAAAAATTCATAACATAAATGAATTAAATTATTAAAATAGTAAATCAATCAGTTTCTTTTAAATAGTTAAAATTAATGAATTTTATACAATAAAATTATGTTACGAATGAGATGAAGCGCGAAAACTAGAATGAGGTACAATTGCAGCTACGTACGTTTGAAATTTAAACGCACGCAGCACATGACCGTCTTTGACAGCAGAGCATTGTTTTAGTTGAGATTCTTGCCGCATTTTACAAAAATATTACTTCATTAAATGAAAGAAAGTAAGGCAGTCTTCGGGTGGGGGAGGGGGTCAATGTGTAATAAATGCTTACGTTTGACAAAATAGCTTTTTTTATTTCTTACCTTTTAAATACTTATCTTAATTGCAATAAAAATAAACACCTTTAGAGCAAACTTACCTTTATGTTGCCACTACGTACTTTTGCACAGGGTGGCCAAGCGATCAATGTTAATTTCGCTGCTCCGTAAATTGGTGTGATACAGTGATCGGTGTCCGACATAATTCTATAACTAATTCTGTCAACAACATGAAAATAATTGACTGCTATGCTGTGGTCTAGAATCCGGTGCCTGCATTTGGTTTGAATTTTTGTTTGTTTGTTTCTTTGATATGAGTACCTAATCGCGATGTTCCATTTAACAAAGGCACCGTTATCAATTTATTTACTGAGGGTAAAACATTGTAAATATATATTTTATCTTCCCCATGGCGCTTCTTCACTTACTGTTGTTGATGAAAATAGAGATGGCCCAGGATTGTAGTAAACATTGCCCAGGATTGTAGTAAACATTGCCCAGGATTGTAGTAAACATTGCCCAGGATTGTAGTAAACATTGATCCCGTTTTTCCATACAATTTTTCCTATAATTATAAAACATAGATGTATCTTAAAGTTCAATGGAGCATACATTTTACTTTGGCTGTCAAATATTGCCCAATGGGGAGAGAATGGGGCAATCTGTCCTGCACGTAACCTGTGTACCAGGGATTTAAGGGGATCGATACATAAGGCAATTTCTCTAATCCTCTTGATAATGCGGAAATAAAAAAAAATGTCATGTGAAGGGATATAATGCTGCCGCATCAAAAGCACATAGGGGTCACTTTACTCACTCGGGTTGATGACGCTACTGCAAAGTTTCTGAGTTGAAAACTGTGATATTGATTTCCAACAGATCTCCCTCATCTGAACAATTATAGACCAACACGGTTTTACTGCATATTTAATTGCAATTATAACTAAAAGTTTCTTGAGCATAAATTATTTGCAGCCTTTAGTTTTGTTACATACTCGTGAGAGAAGACAAAAAATGTGTTTTTTTATTGTGTAGCAGCTACATGTAGGGCTTTAGGTCGACATGACTTACTTACGGATCAGGTAACTTGCGCGATTTAGCCTGCAAGAATAGGCCAATATATATGTTGGACACCAGTTTTTGCTTATGATATAGCGCTCTCTCTTGGCCTACATTGAGTGACTGAGCCTCTCTTCTTCTTTTTATGAACGGCGATAAAAAGACAGAGGGCATATTTAACTATGCAATTCTCGGAATAGGAAGAAAAACCGGAAACTTGGACTTTGATACTTAATGTACAACTTACTATATATATTTCTATATTTCCGTAAATATACGAATTTTTCACTTTTCCCTGCTCACGTTGAAAGGTCGTGGCACCCCAGTGAATGGTCTTAGTAACTGAAGGGGCGTGGTTTGGTGACTGAAGGGGCGTGGTTTAGTAACCGAAGGGGCATGGTTACTCTAAGTGCATGCTAACTGTAAACTGTGGCAAACCAGAGCACTTCATTTCTGGGCCGTGGGGTCATAATGACATTTCTCATAAGGATATAGCCATGACTTAAGGATTGGGGTAAACAAAAATAAGGTAGTGAACTTCTGACCCAGCCCGTATTCCTTACTGGTTTTGGTCCAGTAATTGGCATATATTGTCAACGTAAATGGCAATCATTTCCTCTTGGTTTCATGTGAAGATGATGTCAATAAAAGCACAAAAACATTTATTTTATTTTTATTATTTTTATTGAGTATTATAAAACTGAGGCATCATGAATGATATATAACGGGTATAATATACATTTTTCCTTTAAATACTGGATAAATAATACATATTGTTTACACACAAAATGACACAATCGCTAAACATACACATTAATAACATACAGTAAATAACAAACGTCGTTGTTTGTTCTTTGGTTTACTAGATTTAAAACTACTGGATTCAAACCTACACACGTGAAACTATAACGCCATAAAACGTGCGTTTCCTCAATATTCACGACCAGTCAGCCAGTCAGTATATACTTCATCAAATCTTTTTTTTTCTTTTTCTTTTCTTTTCTCAATGAGCTATTCAGAAACTCGTGACATTCCATCACGTGAGAAGGCTGTTACAGGTGTGTAGAAAGGTAAAAGTTCGACAGATATCAAAGAAACGTGACAACTACTCCGCATTTTAAAATACATAAACCGCCACGCACGGCGGAACTGACGCAGACGGGACCAGTATGTGAAGGACCAAAAGTATGCAAACCGCACGTCTTGCCTTTGTTTTTTAAATTGGTTATGTGTATCAGATATTACGAGATAATGACCGTTTTGACTACGTGCATTACATGCGGCTCTTTCAAAAGAGACGGGTCAATAAATTAAGGTTATACTTCACTACAATCCGTGGTAGTATGTCGAAACTTGCGTAAATTAAAGAAAAAAAGTTGCTTGAAGCATATAACTAGTACCTTTTACTCTATACGGTTTCAGTGAGCTGAAAAAGCATGTTCTTTCAAGCGAAGATATTTTCAAATGTTGAGGGATTTCCGAAGTGTATATGTGACACATTATAAATAAATCATCCGTTTTCTAGTTTGTGTCCACAGCTAAATTCTAAAGAGCATGCTTTTAAAAAACACATTGTAATTCCGACCGCCGTTTTTTCCTATACTCTCACGTTTGCATTCTCAGGAGAAATACAATGAAAGTATAAAATAGACATGTACAATAGCGTGGTGTGCGGGAACTTTTGAGACACTCCCCACGTGTGGAAACAGGACACATAATCTTCACAACTTTAAACATCAGGTGCCGGTTTAATAATGCTGTTAATGTACAAACTATGGGCACTTACAAAGGTAGTTTTTCTCCATTTAAAATTCACAATTGCTCATTTGCTCTTATAATTCTGTTTTTAAGGTGACTCCAGAAAGGAGAGAGAATTCCGCTCCGTATATGAACATGTAGAATTATAATCAGGTTTATACTCATGGCCAAAAAGTGGCGTTGAACTTCTTTTTCTCTTAATCCCATTTCTACGATGAATATTGTCAGTCATTTAATTAACTGCCACCGTAAATCTTATCCTCAATAACTGATCCACTTTCTTGTTTGTTTTGAAAGTAGTCTTGAAAACAACACACCTTTTTCCATATGGTAATGCTAGTTAATGTCAAATAAAACCGTTTGTCAGCAACTTTAAACGCCTTTTCTGCATACTGTTAGCAAGTCTGACGTCTGTAGTATATTTCAGTGCATAGTCATTTTAAATAGAATCTGCAGTTTATCTTGGTCTAAAGGTTCATGCTTTCTTTTTTTACTGGAAGACGTAAATTCTTTATGATTCCGATTTATGTCACCTTTGGTGTACAAAAGCTCCAAAGCAAAAGCAGCTACACATTGAATGCGAGATCTTTATCAAAGGGGTTGATAAATAAATAAATAATAAATATATGTTCAGCCCCTTTTTGAGGTAGGGTGCGTTCAAGCCTCAGTCCCATCGAATTGACATCGTATGATACAGAAAAGCGCCCTGCATCAGTGAAGGGTATTTCAAACTGTCAGGGCTTCTAGAGATTTTGAAAGATGGTGTCCGTCCTGCAAATTTTAACATATGAGCAGTAATGCCCATAGAAACGTGAAGCATCCGGATTATTGAAAGTTGTTTTCCTCATGTGCCGTATAGACAAATTTCAAACAGTTTTTTCTTACACTCCAAACATCTCCAACGGAAGTTAATCTTTCGAAGGACAGAGATAAACATTTAGCAGATCCTGATTGGAAGTGCTCGTAGTTGTTCAGGGCATTAATATAAGTTGCGCATGCGCCTCAAAAGAACTTCAACTGGTCACCGATGTTTCCTTTCATTTATGAAGTCCACGTGGTCGACGCAATCGTTTGAACCAGTAGTTACTGTCCCTGAGCCCCAACTTGTTTGGTTTTGTGGTTGTTTCCCCATGCTCATCATGGAAGTTGTTAAATAATATTTTCTCTACTCTACTCCGTGTTGTCGTCACCTTCTTACGTCTTGGCACTCTCCGTTTACATTTTTCATTCCCTCGCAACATTCACTGCACATGTTAGACATCCTGGAAAATAAATGAAATGTTTGATAATTATATTTTCCATTGAGTTCGCAATACACCCTTAAAACATGGAATTCGTGGTTCAACAATCTTGTAACTCTTGTAACTCTATGATACAGTTGTCCGTTAGACAATAGGCTCTCAATTGATAAGCCTCAGATATAAAAAGTTAAGTTTTTGCTTTTTAATTTACAATTCAGTGCTTTTATCGTCCTGTGTTATGTTCATTTTCATATTATCTTTATCCATATGCAATAATCATCATTAAAACCACCTCGGAATACGCGTACTTTCATATCGTTACACATTGAATTCGGTACACATTTAATAGGATACTGTATGCGTTAAAACTCGGTCAGTACCAAGTGGTATATCTGGTATAATAAGAGAGGAAAGAACTGCTAAAGAATGAGTTTGCTACATGTACTTATAATTATTGCAACCCTATTGCAACAATATTAATGAATGATAAGGTTATTCTGGGTAGGGTTTTGGTGGTCCATATATAACATTCATTTTACATCATGTTTATATGCAACGTCAGGTGGTATTTTGCATTCCGAATGGCAATATATAGAGGAATATAAATATCTCACTGTATTGGGAGCTATATTCATAGAAGAGGATAGTACTATGGTGCTCAAGGAGACAGGTGGATGAATATTTGGTAATGATTTCACCAGAGGAAATCTGGAAGATACTGTATGTGATGTAGTGATGGGAAACCAACGGGATGAAGAATAAAATGATTTTATGCAAAGGAAAGAAGAATGCATAAGTATAGTAGGTATATATAAATGAAACGGGGAGAGGAAAATATGTTTCTTCAATACCTTAACTATAGTGGCTTTAATATCAGTGTCAAGTTAAGTGTCCCCTGTTCTGGGATTGGTGGAGGGGGGGCATAGGAAAGGGCATATGTAATACTGTACCTATAGCGGCCATGATTTTGTTTTTTAAAACAAGTGTCCCCTATTCCATCCAAATGTCCACCGACAGGGGTTGCAACTGTCACAAAACGAACAGAATTTTATAGGTAAATTCTTAATTTCAAACAGTAACTAGTCATAGTTATTTTGTAGGGATACACGTGTACGATACACACACCTACAAGAGACTCTTTGTTGTGATGGTGGAAGGAACCAGGCTTAATAATGCATCTTCATTTCGGGATTGGGGAGGGGGTTGGGGGATTAGGAAGGAGTTTGAGAGTGAGGATACGACGAGTAATTAGGTAGGGTGTGGAGATAGGGGGTATGAGTCAAACCTACCAACGGGATCCAGAGGAACAGAATGTTCGTATCATCCATTCTATTTTCCACAAACAACTGAGACAAAATTTTAGACAACACATTAAGTTTTTATGGTTCAAAAACTACTACTCCCTAATCATTAGATAAATATTAATATCACGTGTTGTTGTACACTGATTTGAACATGTTAATGCAACTGTATAATAAAAATCACATTATTATGAAACTATTTAACAGAAGGGTTGTCTCATAAATTGTTTTAAAACTATTTTACTACACCCAGCGTTCTTTTTTTTTCAAATTATTTAAAAGTACCTTTGGGTGCTTGGAACCACGCTGGGTGGTAAACGAAGCAGTTGGGTCAATTTGTACCAGTGCGCATCGCTATAACCATTAAACTACATTGACGGGATGGGGCCTTCTGAGGGAAATTAAATTCTACAAATGTCCCAAGATAGGGTCAGAGTCAAGCACCAAAAGACCAAAAATGTGACGATCTTAATTCCTCTCACGTGCTCTGATGTTCTGCAATTTGAAATGACGTCTTCCATGACGTAAATAACGTTATTAGAGCAAACTGTTTGTTTACACATGTTGTAAGGTAAACAAGATTAAGTTCAGAATTTAAGGATTGTGTCCGTTTTGTTGCATTTTTTATTTTAACTAGTTTTTTGTTACAGTTGAATTTACTTACTTGCCGTTTTGGTCCCCGGTACACTCACACGCATTGAAGTTGCATCTTTCATATTCCCTGTGAACATAAGAAAATACAATCTTTTCATACACTTGTCATAAAGATGTTGAAGTAGTTAATGACATATATAAATGTAATCAATAGCATAATATAATGAATACTTATTTTTAAAATAGAAATACTGTCTGGTCTGAAAGAATACGCATAAAGTTAAGATTTGTCGTATCGTTGAGGATAATAGGCAGTTATTATTTTACAACTATTCTCATAACAGCCCTGGGCATTCAGTTTAGATTTTCATGAATTACGCAGTTAACCAAATAATTGTTGAAGCATATTTCAAATTAAAAGTCATAAAGAGGCGTACATGTGCATGTTTCTTCGCGCCACCATGTGCGCGTGTTTGTACGTTGCCATAATTTGTTAAATTTAGACATGATATCCGGAGACAAGAAAAACGCTTAAACGCGCATTATATCCGTAGCGGCAGCACAAAAATTTTCTCAATGAGTTAAAGCGTTTCATTAAGACATGCATCTTGCGTTTTACAACCGGAAGCATTTAGCACTCTCAGGTGTCTAATAGCGTTTTAATGGATATCCATCTTAATTCTTGTTTTATAACCGTTTCATCATTCTCCACTTGTAAGGCCTAGTCTCCCATGTTATACAGAGCCAGGCTAAAAGTCTTATCACCAGTGGACTAGCTCTTGTCCAGGAATGATTTTTATCACTCCTATTCATCACAGGCCGTTATAGTCACGTTTTATTAATAAAATTAAGTGCACGGGTCACTACTTTTCCAAATGGTTTCCTGCTATAAAATGACGGTCATTGTGGTAAACTGTATATCGGATCTCCAGAATGGCCGTGGACAAAAAACCATTTCCATAAATTTCAATATTTCTCTAACAGGACATGATACCGAAACTAACGTCTTGTTTAAACACTGCATACAGACAAAGCTTTACTCTGAAATTCATGCATTATTGTTCTTTTTTGCTGAAAATGCCCATTTTTCATTTCATTTTCTGCAACCGATGACTATGTTGAATAAACGTGAAATGTGTCCAAGATCCAAGCAAATGGAATAATTTAATGTCCACTTTATTTGTTTTCCTTATTTAATCTACTTATTTATCCATTTATTCTGTTTCTTTTCGTACAAAGACCGTATGTAGCCAGGGGAGTTGTTAGCAGTTTCTTTTGTCCCAGACCAACAGAAAGGCACTGTCCTTTTTTTAAGTCAGCGTCTAGCTGAATACTACAGGCGGTAATTATCAACCTTTTAGCACGTTTTGTAGGCCTTCATCAGTCACTACCCACCCACCCCACCCCACCCCATCCCACCCGGGACCCAAATATTGGTCCCAGCCTAAAGCTATGTGTAAATTCATATAAATTATAGGAAATACCCTTGAATACTCACGTTGACTCGCATAGTATAGGTATAGTTCGCTTCCTATTAATACTGTCCAGTAGTCTACTCTCACAGCCTCTGTCCCTCCAGCGAGTGCCACACCCACCACATGGTCGACTGCACTTTGACCAGCTTGACCACGATGACCAGGAGTCAGGGACTGAAGGAAAAATGAGATAAAGATATTTTATAACAACAGTATATTTGTGTTAAAGAATCCAGGTATTAAATAGAGATTGGGGGTGTATTTCTTTTGATTTATAGCAAAGAATGGCATTTTTCATGTTTAAATCTAACAATTTATGAATCGTGTGAATTTTTGACAGTAAAAAGACCGTACAGTTTTACCTGGAAACTTTGGAAGAAGTTTTGGGAAAAATCGATTCCCTCGCCTAAGCCATTACAAGAGCAATTTATGTGTATAATAAAAATGACGAATACACACACACACACACACACACACACACACACACACACACACAAGCCTTAAAATGACAGAGGCTTAGGCTTCGTTCACATGCAATGTCTATTTTCTAATTTCTATTTTCTATTTGCGCTATCTTATGATCACGGTCTGTGCCCTGAACATCCCGCCGCGTAATTACTGGCAGCGCGAGCCAGTTACTTATAGTAACTTATAGTAACTGGCTCGCGCTGACAGTAATTACGCCGCGGGATATTCAGGCCACAGACCGTGATCATAAGACATACCGCAAATAGAAAATAGAATTTAGAAAATAGACATTGCATGTGAACGAAGCCTTAGTTTTCGTAATGAGCAATACAGATTAATATTTCTTTGTTTTCGTACCTATGCATTCTCCATCGACTTTAATGAAATTATCACAACACACGTCATAGCTCCAATAGTAATAGTTCCTTTTACAAGCAGGAAGTTTGGTGCCAGTCACCGCATGCTCACAATCATTACATCCGGGTTCTTCCACCACCATCCTGGTGGGAATTGGAATGGTGGTAGTTGCCGTGGTGGTTTCTGCTGTAGATGGCGCTGTAACTGGCAGGTATCTGTACGTTAGGCGGAACCCATGGCGTTCTCCGTATCCCATTAGACCTTCTGCAAGACCGCGGAACTTAATCAAAACTTCGTTGGTTTCGGAATATATGTACGTCGTTGGTTTGTCCATACAGCAGAATCTGGAAAGGAATGAAAAAAATAGTAATAGAACAGCCGTCGACAAGAAGAGTGTTATGAATTTAATAGAACTTTAGAAAAACAGATAATAGATGTGACCATTTGAAAAAAAAAATAGTTTCTTGGAACTATGGGACGAGATGAGGCATCCCCTTTTAAAAGTGTCTAAAGATTAAAGTGTCGAAAATCTTTCCAAGAGGGGCATATCGAGATTGAAATATAACAGCACAAATAAACCATTGGGCAGTATCCCTCCGACAATAAATACAGAGTAATACATAACAGCTACTGCCTGTCAAAGTAAAACATGTGGTTACCTTTTGGATGTCTCGACCAATTTTTGTCCGTAATTAATCTCCACGTAGTCGACACACCCATCTGGTTCACAGTACATTCCATAGCGAGGCCCGCTGAAGTGAAGTTCTATGCGAGTGCCCTCTGGCGACTGCAGAGAAGAGCCAATTAATTTCCATTAATCTATTTGTACATCTACTTATTTGTTCCGGCACTGCGTTATTATTGTCGAATTTGACTTTAAAGAAACCAAAGCTTCAGCACGCAAAAAAGATGCAGTAAGACCCACCAGTTAGGTTTAATACTTTGTTTCCGAAGTTCAAAGATGCAATACTGTGTCATAATAATGTCAATCACAAGTATAATGACAGTCCAAATATCCCCACCTTGATGAGCCAGTTACACGTCTGCCCGCCACGGTAGGAGAAGAAGTGCTCTGGAGACCAGTAGTTTGGAGAGTAAAAACTGTCTTCTTTTTTCTCAGCGTAGAGAGTAGCACCGCAGCCGTCAGCTACAAAACAGTAAGTAGATTTAGGTATACTTATGGGCATTAAAACTTGGTCACAATACCAGAGCTCGTTACTTGAGCATGAAAGTGTTGGTTAAAATATTTTGCTATCAGGTTTCGTCAGGTTTCAGCCCTCTTCTGTGTGCTCTATCAAATCTGATATATAGGAAGTAACAATGCGTTCTTGCAGCTAAAGGAATTCAATGACAACCAAATATTTATTATTATGCTCTCATAGTATCCAAAGCAACATAATTACTAACAAAAAACATAATGTCATTGCACTTTCTAAAAATTCCTGTCATTCTCTCGCAAATTCTCACAAACTCTCTCTCACCTCCAGTTGACCACTCGAAAGATTCACAGTACCAGCCGCCAAACCCATCCGGGCAGATGCACTTGTAGCAGGCATCCGGGTCCTGGAAGCCAAAGTGCTCACACGGTCTCTCGAGGGGCTCACGTGCGCACGGATCCCCAGGATAGACATAGGGCGTGGGTCGGGGCGTGGTTGTGGTCGTCGTTGCGATCGTGGTCGTTGTCGGCGTCGTTGTTGTTGTGGTTGGTGTCGTAGTAGTAGTTGTGGGCGTTGTAGTTGTTGTTGTTGGTGTAGTAGTTGTTGTCGTTGGCGTAGTCGTGGTTGTTGTAGGCGTTGTCGTAGTAGTAGGTGTTGTTGTAGTTGTAGTCGTAGTAGTAGTAGGCGTTGTCGTAGTTGTCGGAGTTGTTGTTGTCGTCGTAGTTGTAGCGGTCGTTGTAGTTGTTGGCATTTTCGTTATGACTCTCCTGGTAGTTTTCGGACGCGGAGTTCTAGAATCGTAGATAACCCTCTCTGCCGGTTCCTCCACGAAGACGGCTCGAAATGACAGCTGAAAGCCGCGCCTCTCTTTGGCGGGCAGTGTTTTAGTCTCCGAGGAACGGAACAGCACGGTGGCGAAGTTGGTCTCCGAGATCATGGTAGCGTTTGGTTTATCTGTACAACAAAACCTTTAAAGAAGAAAGCAGTCACCGTGAAGTGATTTTTGTATTGGAAAAGAATTGCTTCCCAGTAAGATGGCAACAAATTCGCAAGGTAGATAAAATAAATTTTAAAAAAATCTTTTTAATGCCTTTATTTGCTTGAGAATTCAAAGGGCACCTGTAGCCTCCCCCTCCGTATAAACATGTAGATAGAGTATATGTACACATCCATGTTAGTTTCCTAATTAAATGCATCTGCGTATTTATCGTCAACATTTCTATGGTGTACCAATATTACACCAGAAATCAGTGGATGTTCATTTGATTTTTAATTTAAGGTATTTTACAAACAACAGATCTGAGCAATTTGCAGCATTTCATTGATGAACAGTAGCTTTGTTTTAGTCTATTTATTTCAAGCATTGAATACTACCACGACACCGTTCGACAGCAAACGGAATCCACTTACCAGGCGCCAGTTGTTCCCAGACTTTGACCATACCGGACTTCAACGTAGTCCACGCACGTGTCCAGGTAATACTTTCTACAATGGAGGCCAAACCTGGGGCCTGAAAACCGCATTTCTACCTTCATATCCTGTGGTGCCTGGAACATGGATAGAAGATTATGATAAACGGGATGGATGAAACGTACACATGCGCTGTGTGTGTCAAATGTAAGGGTCAACCATCGCTGTTTTAGGAACATAGTCAACATATCTGAAGTCCTGGATTAAAAGCAGACATGCACGATAGGCGCTGCATGTTGCCTATATGGCGCTTTCAAGTCAGTTTTGAGAATAAAAGATGTAGCTACTCAGTACGTCAAATCCAATAACAATAAATATATCCATTTATTTAGCAGAGAAATTGTTTTACATTTGCTGACTCTTTAAGTTACTGCAATAGTACCTGGTATAAGTATATAAATCGTAAATAAGATCCATTCAAATACAAGTGGGTATTGCAAGAAGAAAACGTGACTGTGAAATTAAGTATGGCACATAGGCCCTATCATTTGTTTGGGGATGTGGCTTTTTGTATTTATTTCATCACAAATTTAATTGTGGCTGTGAGTGGACTTAATAGAGTGGGAGGACACATATCAATCAGTTATCTGACGAAAGATGGAAAGCAAAAACGAAATTGTGCTAACCTTGATGAGCCAGTTGCACTCCTGTTGTTTGGGGTATTGCCGGCTTCGACTGACGTACCCTGGAGATCGTATGATTTGCCAGTAGTTGGTAGCGACCTTCACTCCACCACAACTTTCTGGAGAATACAGAAGGATTCCATCAGCTGTTGTGTTGGTATAACAGCTAGTGTTTAAACTGTTGTTTACATTTACTATTTTCATGTCTATATATCTAGAGTATCTGTCTCAGGAAATGAGGCTATCCAGGTGAATGATCTATTGAATGTGAGATTCTCCTTTAGTAATAAATGTGTGTGATACTTTGTTATATTGGTGAAATAGCGTTAAATGGCAATATGTAATTTTCCATTTAATGTACGCTAAAAAAAAAAAAAAAAAACTTAGAGTTACAAATAGTAAGAGATTCAAAACTCACCTCCTACAGAGGGCGCTGTGGTAGAACAGTAAGTGCCGCCAATGCCGTCAGGACAGACGCAGCGGTCGCAGTAGTTAGGGTGCTGGTAACCATCAAAGCTGCACTTTCTTTCCAATTTATTCCAATAACAGGAATCTAGGTAGAAGCAAAATCATTCATAAGGCCTGGACACGAATGAGGCGTCATTTTTGTCATGTTACAAATTCCAGTATGTTATGCTCGTTATTTGTAAGAAACAAAGCCTTATGTAGATAACGTGTCGCCAACAAGAACTTTTACACTATAAAATGATGTACACCTAAGAAACAGTGTGTATTACGTAATCAAGAAGTGCGTAATACGCATACACAATGTGTGTAGCATGTGATCTGCTCACCTCTACCTTCTCCCTGGCAGTAATACCGGTTGATGGTCTTTGCGTCATAGAATGCAATATTTTCAGCGTGGCCCATGGATTTTTGTAACAGCGCATCTTGGGTTTTCATGGTTTTGTAATTCCACTGAGATGCGAAGATCTGAAAAAAGCAGCGATAATGATACTTAGAATGGGGATTCTGGTGTTAATGTTGCCACAAACCTTAAGTTATGGTTATGCACTTACATGAGATTTCAATGTACATGTGGAACGTATCGTAAAAATTCATCGGATATTTCATTAAAGATTTCAGATAAATATTTCCTTTCGGTCAAAAGTGACAAATATTTGATTGCTTTTTTTTCTACTCCAGTCGTTAAAAAAGGAAAACAATCTCACCCCAGCTTCGTAGTGCATGATAGAACCCACGTCGTAAGGCGCCCCACTGGTGTTAGCGCTGAACTCTGATACCATACGGAAGGAGCTTTCGAACCCCTGGAGTATATTGTCCCACATCACTGTGATATAGTCGTCCCTGTCTGGCCGCGCGTGTTCGTGCCACAACCCAAGCGCGTGGCCAAGCTCGTGTGAGACCACCGACCTCTGTAAATGATATATACGTTTTAGGAGATGTACTTCTACAAATAATCCAAGTTGTAGAACATCCTTATCCCCAAATGGAAAAAGTATCGACACAATTGTACAAGATAAAATGTATTCCATGCGCTGTTTCATTCGAATTCTGGAATCGCTTGTAGCAGTAATCATTTTGAAAAGCGTAACTCACGTGAATACACTCGGGTCCAAGGTAGATGGGCTGGCGATTGCCTGTGGCGTATGGGAAGCGTGCTACAAAGGACATACACCTGAAAGAAAATGAGTTTTTTCTTGATGATTTATTCTTAAATCCACAGTCCCATATGGTTTATCATAGCTTTGCATGTTATTATATGTACTGTTATCGACTTCCTCTCTCTTTCTCTCTTACACACACACACAGACACACACACATACACACTACTTTTTGCTATTGATTAACTATAGATCACCTTCTATACATAACCCTTACAAATTTAATGACAAAATCTTGAACTAACCCTCCTATGGGCTTCACGAACACCATAACCGTGCTATCGAACTCCCTCTGGTCAGGTATCTCCTGGAAATACACGCACGTCTTCTCCTCCCAGTGGCGGATAGCCGCTCGGATCACCTCTCTTTCGTCCTCATCTTGAAATGAGAATTCACAGATAGAATTTAATCAAAATAATTCCGTAAGCCTGATATTTTTCTTACAGTCACTTGTATAACAGGGTGCTTGTTTAGAGGACGGCTTATGATGTTAAACGTAATGTTGAGTCAGCATTACTGTGTGTAGTGAAACATGCTGAGTACACATTATTTTTATTAATTAATATTATTTAGCTTGTGGTGTGTTGTTTACCTTCTTTCCAAAACACTATGCAAAAAAAAAGGATGCTTCGAAAGTGCACAGAATGGATTGATTAGATGAAGGACTGTTGCTCACCATGTGTTTCATTTTCTGCCCTGTTAAAAGCATAATAAATAGGCATTGGCCACGCCCTGCTTTTTCTGGGGTTCTTATACAGAGGATAAATCTTGCGTTTTGGTCTTCCTCTACATTTGTCTAGCGCTTCCTTAGCTTCCTCGTATGTAAACATGATGTCCTGAAGCTTTATGTCCTCAAGACAGAATCCTTGGGGCGGGCACTGAGCAATTAGAAAAAGAAATGCAAGTTTAGATGAAGGAAAAACAGTTTCCATGTTTGGGTTTTACAACTATATTTGATACAACTAACGCCTTATTTTTCCTAGAAATGTACTCCAGAATCGGGTTACACTAAGTCACACTAAAAACGTTCAATGAGACAACTTTAGATGTGGAACGCGAGGTGACATGAAAAGGCTTTCACGTTTGAGTGCGGGCTCGATACATTTTACGTCCCCCAATGTCACGATTGCGTGAGATCTTTCAATGTGTATTCGATGCCATACACAGTTGTACTCATAACTTCGTTTTGGTAGATATGTGTACATTATTTGCAGTCGGGTATCAGCGTTGTGTGGATCGGAGGATAAGGTAACCGCAATGACTTCAGGTGAATTGTCGTCAGGCAATTATGGCGGGTGCCATAAAATTGGCTAATATTGAGAGGGTATCATGTAAATGGGGGCTTAGACTTAGCACATGGTGAGAAAACGATGTGGTTTTCGTTTAACCACCGCAGTGTTGATAAGTTTTTATGGAGGGTTATCTAGGTACAATTGCGCACAATCTAAGGTACTTGAAAGTTTTGAATAAGTTCTATACATGAGTGTCGTGATCGAGAGTTGAAGAAGCACCGGTCCTTTAAACTTTCTGGTTATACTTTTGAATCATAGTTGTGATAGGATGAATACAAAAACTAAAAAAAATCGCCACATTTTAGGTCTAACAATGTTATCGTATCATCTGAATACAGAGATTTTGACAAAATGGTACAAATCATTGCTAACTTCGGTGACATTCTTGTGCCACAGCAGTTATTCGCATCAGTGATTTTTTTTGATTTTCTGATAACCACGTTTTCCACAAATTTGCAAAATGATAAAGGGTGATGCTGAATACGCCCTTCAGACCTATACCGAACTGATATTACACAGAATTGAAAAAGATAAACGGTTTTAAACAGAAATGACAATAACACACGACGCACCTGTTTTGATTGTTTCAAGCATAGGCACCTGTGTAGTTCTCCCAAAACGCACGTGGTGGCTGTGAACTCCTCTTTGGTCATCCCCCGATACTTCTGCCATTCCCGAAGTTCATTCCTCTCCTAGAATAATATCAAATAGAACGCTAAATTGGTATCATACTCCTTATTTAAAGGGTTAACACAGGTTTGTGTACAAATAAACATATGCCAGGACGGCTACCCTTTCATGCATTTACTGGCTACTTGGAAAGATATTTCCCATATTGTCATTTATATGGAAAAATATATGATATGATATGATATGATATGGTATGCCCCTTTTTCATTTCTTGACTCCAAGAAAGGTGCCTTTCATTTCAGCAAAACACTATTGTGTTATAGGCATTGCTTCGAATGTCCTGCAATGTCAAAGTGTTTCACTATTTCCAGTTTATTTCTTTTAATTGTTTATTCCCTTGTAGATTTTAATTCTAATTAAAAAATATATTCCTAAATCAAAATTTTGTGAAGCTGCTAAAATGAAAAATCAAGTTCTTTTATAGCTCTTTACAAGCGGGCAGATTCGTCTTCAAAGATATATGTACACCATGGTCACTAAGGGCAGAATTGACCATAACAAACTTTCGCACCGAAAATCCCCATCCAGGCACCGCCGATGCCCGCATACCTTCTCGCTTGTGACTTATTAGTCAAAGATAAAACGCATAACTTGCAGAGTTGTGGCGTTAGGGGTCAGATCATTAAGGGTTTCTGTGTCACGTCCTTAAGCATGAACTAGTTCTTGAATTCGTTCTGGTGACGTCCTCAATGAGGATAAAACGCGTCACCCTGCGTCCCTTGAGAATATGCTGTGTGCTTACAAATTACAGTGTGGTGCAACGCTCCCGCCTTAATTGGATGCCACCGTCCATCTCTTCCATGCTTAGCGCATTTCTGTACGGACGTTTAACCATTAAGATATAGATTCGGTCCAATCATTTAGAATTAGGTGTATAACAATGCTTGTGACGCATTTTCTGTGAACAAAATTGCGTGAGTTATTATCTGAAGGTCGTATGAAATTCCAGGCTCTTTATTTCACGTTTTATTGCATGTTTCGTACAGATATATGTGCTACAGTTTCAGCGTCTCAATGCATTTATATCGAAATAACGGTTTGCACATGCGCATCAGTGCACGCTTCGTTAGTTCTTCTACCAGCTCCATGAGGCACCCGAAAAGACGTGGTTCACAAAACAGTTGAACGCCAGGGTAATATTCTCTTGCACTGATGTTTGTGATGGGAAGCCGCAAAGGGTGGTCTCCGCGACCTTAGTCCTCTTTTATAGGCCATTTCACTCGCTATCAAAGAACCTTCAGCGTGGACCCTTTAAACATGCCTTCAAAAACCATGGCAATATTGCAACATAAAACGGAACATTTGACGCTGTAAAGTTGTGGGGTTTTAGATGAGAGCTTCTATGTTGGGGGAGGTTCGCTTGACATGGTTTAATTACAGATGGGTTCAGCGTTGTGCAGTAATATACAATTCAAGGGGGATTATTTGGTGGCTATTTTTGTCGAAATCGAACCTCTTTGATAGAAACTGCATGGTTACAACACTGGCGATCAATAATGCCAAAAATTAAAGTGAACGTTCATTTAAATCTATAACCTAATTTAATCTTAAAAATCCTATGATTTCGATGTTTTCATTTTTGCATAACTTTGCAACGGTCCACTGTTGACAGGCTTTTAAGTTGCACAAATCATCATTCTTGCCTCAGATATCATTGGTGTAACGCGTTAAGGTTGTTTACTCGTGTCGTTGGCTTTGATACAATAAAATGTGGGTATGAACATATTTCTTTATGGTAAGTGTATGATATAAGTTCAAGGTTTTAACGCGTTACCTTGACCCCCCTAACGCGTGCAGGTATCTTCCGGGATTGTTGTCCTTTTTAACGACAAAAGTGACGTACGCATATATAACCTTCGTATGAAAATTTGGACAATAGCTTGTTTACGTCTCTATCCCAGTGCAATCACAGATACATGTGATAACTGGCTTACAGATCGTTGAATTACAGCATGGACATTATGCTAATGTCTTCTTAAGATCTGGCTCCTCCACAGTTTCAAAGTATACCCCAACGTACGTGATATTACAAACAAATATGTTGTGACTGACCTCGGGTAATTATTTCAAAATTGGAATATTTTCATCCAACCCATCCAATTAGTTCTACTTCAAAACAAAAGATGCAACAAAAAGATAAAAAAAAGTGCACTAGACGGCGCTAGGGTACAAAGGAAAGTAAGAACATAAAGATGCCTCCAATGAGATAACTGCCCAGAACTGACGTCAATGGTGGCATAGCGCTTCACATCAAAAACATATATGGGTCACCAATGAGGAAGATTACATTTTAAGAAATAACACCAAATATTGGCTATACAAATGGGTTAATTATTCATGTGTAATTTGACAACGAAATGGCGTTTCGAAAGTGTCGCATTCTGTACAACATGATTGACAATAATTTTGCAAAGCATGGACGTTGTTCGATTTCACAACGGCTTCAGCTGGTTTTGAAACAACAGAAGGTGAACCGCTAACCTTAAGTATAGCGTAATGACGACATGGGTATCAATCCTCAATATATAAACAGGACGCAAGGTACATTTTAAGGTTGATAAGTGTGTTATTTAAAAGATGGACTTTCTGTCTTGACATGGGGTCATTCTTAGCGTGTCAATCTTACGAGAAAGTCGTTTTATTCTTCTACTAGTACAAGCGGTAAACTAGGAAGACGCGAATCATCAGCCTGTGATAAATGAAAGCACGTGCTTCTCATTCATTTTTATAATGTCTTGCTAGTGTGTACGGTTTGGGTGCATTCTATCATTTATTTGGCTTGCCTGACTATTACGCCTGTATGATAGTATGACATGAATCTAGATTAAGACTTATTTTTAAGCTACATTTCTCTCCTATACTCTAGCGGTGATTATACTGAATACTAATATATATTGTATGTGACAAGTTGCACAGTGAAACATCACATTTAATACAACTTCATGAACATATGCTTTTAAATGACCAGATTTACCGCTGCCTATCCTGTGAGAACACTTCATACACAATGCAGACCCATGTCATGTATAATACAAATGATAATTCCAAACTGAACAGAACAAGAAATGAGTGCCATTATGGGAAAGGGATGGTTGATTTTCATATCAAATGGAGACAGATTATCTTTATTTCTTTCATACTTCGTTCTCATTAAGCTATCACAAGGAGTTTAATGAGCTGTTTAACTATCCTTTTGTCCGTTAACGCGGGGTTGATGGGTGCGACTATTCACCGGGCTGAACGCAGACGACAATTTTAATGAGATATCATTTGCAAAATTTTGAAATAATTGACAGTAATTTGAATATTATTGGAGTTAGGACAGTAGTACCTATCAGTTTCATGTATGATTTGTGGTAATTGTTTACGTTATAGTTTCCGAAACCAAGTAATTCATGGCTTTCTTTGTTTATGTTTTTGTCTGTGACACGGTAATTTAATCAAATTTATTCAGATACGTTTCACCTGCTTAAATTATCGTCCCACGTTCGATCCTTGTTTCCATGAAAATGCATTCCTTTATTCCGTGCCAACTGCAAATCAACTTTTACCTCATCTTTTGTTTTGGTTTTTGTTATGACGTCACAGAACTTGAATTAATTTGGGTTCATTGGCATTTTAACGTTCTAGGTTTGTTACGTTCTATGTTTGTTTCGTTCTAGGTTTGTTACGTTCTATGTTTGTTACGTTCTAGGTTTGTTACGTTCTATGTTTGTTACGTTCTAGGTTTGTTACGTTCTAGGTTCATTCGAAGAGGAGGATAATTGACGTGTAGATTTTACTTTTTTATACAATGTCACAAAAACATGAATTTACCAAGCAAAATTGCATTTGAGTAAAAAACATTGATGTCTTAATTTACTTTAATAGTTTCCGCAAGGACGAATGTACTTTGACTCTCTTAGATACTCGTTTAAAAGGGCGTTTTACATTATGCTATACGGGCGAACGCCGATTTTAGCATGATGAATTCCCTGCAGTTTCGTCTCACACTCGTCCTCTTTATTGGACCAAACCCCAGTAGCCAGACTTTCATTGCTTTTAAATACAACAAGTTACAACATCAAATCACCTACACTGGTGACTATGCTGGGATGAGGGAAATATATTTGAATACATTTAATTAAATGACACTTCTCTAACACCCAGCGGTGCCCTTAACCGAGTTCATTCATCAGACACTAAAAGGTGTGCGAACTTAATTATTCTGTTAACGATGAATAAAACATATGTTGTCACGAAGTGCAGCAAATATACTGAGCGTTAATTACTGTTAAAATAACTAAAAATTGACGAATGTTTAAAAGAAGGTGTGCTGTGTTTTCTTACACGGGGCATATTTTAACTGCGAAACAGAAATTATCCTGTTTGAGTATTTTATTGGTTTAGCATTTTAAGAACAGTGTTCTTGCCTTGGTTCTTGTCTTGCTAAAAAAGACATCCCAAGTGCCATGAATAGACCTAAAACAGCATACTTCCCAACACTTCCTACCTAAAGACGGTGCATCCTAACAAACGCTGGCGTCTCGGTTATACCGATGCTAATAGCAAGCATTTAACTACATCTAAAATGCTCGTTTGGGTTTAAGCGTTTTGAATGCACCTTGCAGTCATTAATGTATATTTGAAAAGCATAGTGGTCTCCCCTAGACCCCATTTTCCCCCCAAGATGCCATTGCCGGGGCAAAGAGCGACGCGCTTCATGCCGCGGTTTTGATCGCGCGCACTACACCGCGACGTTTTGTGAATGGAGCTGGAGGCCATAAACCTTAAAGCTTGCTTTATGAAGGTGATCTCTGTCGTGTTGGTGCTTTTTACTTTCTGTTAATTTGAGGGATATGGTTTACGAATTTGTAAGCCAGCTTGCATAATTTCTCAAACTTTTTTTCATTTGAAAGCCTTGCAGCCCTGGATATGGTTGTGTGGTCTTCTGGGAGAAAACACAAGACACCTGTTGTGGGTGCTGGTTTCACGATTTCCCCGCGTATGTCCAATTTCTCACGTTCACAAAGATTACCTTTCCTTTTTGTAAGTTTTTTTTGTCATTTTCATCAAATTTGCTATAAAGACAAGACGTGCTTAATTGTGTAATGGCGCCCTAAATTCAGACAAGCCAATCTGCCGCCTGCTTGAACTACGTGTGGAGTTTTTTTTTTTTTTAATTTATGACACTAAATTGCAAATACGGCCAGGTGTTCATACAGCACACAAAATGAATAATGAACTGTATGAATTTCATGACTTAAACCCATTCTGTGTCACTTGTTCTTGACAACTCGTTGTTGTTTAAATTTGATAATTGTCAATGAATAAGCTTACAGGAAAGTAAAAAAAAACATAATAAACATAATATAGTTAAAGCTACAACTCACGTCATCTGCCATCGTAATTGGGTTCCCCAGAACGCTTCCTACAAGGAGAAAACTCCACAACAAGCAAGTGGCTGCCAATGCCCAGCTTGGCCAACTTCCTGGTCGCATACTTCCTGGTCTTCCTTCTCACTTCGCACACCAACAGGTGTTTCTTTAAAAAATTTATGGGTTATGGAACAGTTATCTGATGCTGCTTCTCAATACGCAGAGAGTTTTCACTAAGCGTCCTTAGCAACCTTCTAGATACAGCGTCCCCTAATGCTGAAGTTTACAAAAACTTTAAACGTACAAAAACTTTAAACGTAACGCTTTGCTGCAATTACTGATCCTTCACGTGTACCTCTAATCCCTATAGTCTAGTTCTTCCACAGGTTTATTGTCAAGCAATCCAACTTGAGCTTTGTTCTGACTTGTTTCTGACCATACCCCCGTCTTTTTATCTGTCTGGGAGCGGATGTGGTTTAGCTCCATTAAATTCTCACAAACGTGTCCATTACACAGGGCCATTATACAGACTGGAGAATGAATAATGACACGGACGGTTTACCGTCACGGTTCCCGAGCATCCAGTACTTCAGACCTCCAGATGACGTCAGAGTCTTGTACTGGGTTTGTGACGTGCCGGAGAGAGGGCCGTGTAGACTTGTGGAAGATCTGGTTCGAGCTTAGTTCGAGTTTTGCCGCGCCCCTGTTGCAGCTTGCATGTGTTGGTTATTTGGTATACAGGAAGCAGGGATATGTTATCTAGTTATGTATGTAGATGTGGATTCGGGAACGTGACTGGTTTTACAGGAGTGCACTGAATATTAGGGTTAAAATTTACTTGCGTATAGCCGATGTCTAAATGTTAACTATGAATACAATGGCTATTTGACAAGCTGGGCATTTTGAACCCTAGACGCCCTACCTCACTGGACCGTTCACACATAAATACAAATAATGAAGAAATGTAAAAATTATCCAAGCCTGCATTAAATCTGGTAAAATCTTGTAAAACGTTTTTATTCAGAAGATTTGCAAATTTGAGCACGACAATATTGAAATGCAGTTTGCAATGGAATAAAAAAAGTGAGAATCAAATACGTACCTGCATTGCAGCTGCAGCATTGTAATTTTCAATTTTTTTATATTGCATTTTGTATTTTTTTAATCAGGTACATGTACAACGACTGGATAACCTCCATTGTTAGGTTTCACGAGTGTTTATATATGTTGCATCAAGGTATATTACAAATCTTGCTTCAACGGTATGCCATACCCCTGATGATCATCTTTATTCGACAACGTTAGGCGATGAATTACCGGGGGTAGTTAAGGCTTCGTTCAAACCCTGGAAACGCCTCTGCCTCCGCTGAGGGGTTGGGGCATTTAACCGCCTGCGATAGAAAAATAAAGTCTCTTTGCCAATTTGGAATTTTCTGTTACTGTGCAGCTCCAAAGAAGATATGAAAGGCTTTTTATTGCTATATTGGAACCAAGGGAAAGAATAATGCAAGTGTTTTTTGTATATAATCTTACTTTTTGCACCTATAAAAGTGACAGGTAAAGTGAAGCGGAGATTAATCACCTGCTAATAAACACTTCTCGTAACTTGTAAACTGTTCAATCATTTCTTGAATTATCATGATGTTCCTTTTTGTCATTATCTTCATCATTGTTATAATCAATTATCAATAGGCCTATAACTGCCCATCATGCTGATTCTACTTCGCACCTGGACTGAGCCATGTAGATTTATTTAATAGTCTAAACACGCGTAAGTGCTAAATGTTCTGGCAAAATGCTTTTGCAACAGCGGGGCGTCAAACAGGTAAATATATTTCTCTAATTAGTGCAGCTTTCCCATTTTTGTAATTTATTCTCAGGACAAAATGTCAAACCTTAATTCCGGACTTTACATACCTATCGCCATCAGGTACCATCTGTTTGGCATAAACACGTCAATATTATTATTGAGCTGGGCGCTATTGTTTACTCCCATTCAGAACGGTTTGAATAAAATGGGCATACTAAGAAAAACGTGATTCAGTAAAAGAGTGTTTTGTAAGATGAAACCAATAATTTCACCCAGTTACAGGGTAAAATGTGGTATCGGTAACGTGCGGCCTTCAGTGGTCATGCGTCAAGAACCCGAATGAACCGCAACGGTTTGTTTGGTAGTACGATTTAGTGTGAAATATTAAATCACCTGTTGGTTTTTGATTTATTTAAGTAAAAACTCCAAAGACGTTTTGTTGGTTGTATGAGGGGAAAACGCTTCATAGGTTCTGATTTTTTTTTTATTATTTTGATATTTAATTTCCTTGGTATTATTGGCATCGCTTGTTTGCTTTCGGTAATTATCTGTTATTATTTTTGAGGTTTTATTATTTTACATGCCGGCATCTACGTTATAAGCCAGTCTATGAATTGTTATTGTCGAGTTATGAGGGCCACGCTCCACGTGTTTTGAATAGTTTCCCTGCCGTGATATTTCATTGCGTTTCACCTGTTGGTTTTTTTTGTATTTCAAACACAAAACGTGTTTACAGTTAGTTTTTCCCTGAGTGGTGCGTATGTCCAAAGCAAATTATGAGTAATATTTCCTCAAGCTGACCACAACCTTTACGCACTTGGCGGAGAAAGGCGGGGCTTTTCTAAGAATGACCACGCTGAATATACAGGTGTTGGTTGTTTTTATAACTGGACATCGTTTCATACATTTTTGAAATAATTCGAATTGCTTAATTTGTGCGTAAGCTCTGAAATGTATATAGTTGACGGAAGAACTTTATTTTGGATATTAATGGTCCAGCAGGTGCGAATCTATTTTTACGTCAAAGTATATATATTTATTTATTTATTTAAATGCATTTATCTTTTAATTTAATTTAATTTATTTATCTTTTTATTTGATATCATTATTATCATTCATAAACGTTCTTATGATTTAATGTCAATACAGTGATATTTTGTTAAGTGTGCCTCGGTGCGCTACAAAACTTTGAATGTCGGACATCAGATGCTTTTAAAACATTCTAAGAAATCTTTTGGATTATATTTTTCTAATAAAATTAAAAAATCATAATTGTTTTCACGTTACTCCCATCGGACAAAGAAGGCAATTTTTTATCGTTATTTTTAATGTGTGATTTTTATTTCTGTATTTATTACGGTTTTGTATAAAACAAATCTTCACTTCGGCAATGTCTTAAAACGTTTTTATTTTACAATACAGAGTTTGTGCGCTGTGGGTCACTATGAAGTTCTTGAAATACGGTCTAACATCGTCGTTTCGATTTTCCCATGAAATAATATCTATAAGAGAGGTTTCTGTTATGACAACAATGCATTCCAGTGGCACATTTTGATTTTTTCGGTCCTGTTGTAGAGGTCAACAATTTAGGGATCGCACCTTGCTATGTTTGTGGCTATTTCTGACTTTTGACCAACCGCACATGTCAATATACATGACGCATGCATTCCGTAATACTAGTGCACATGTTTTTAATGGCAGTCGTATAACCATTGCACCGGGAAATAGATTGTAATGCATACTATATTGACAACGATTGTTTTGTTTTCGGGCGTTGAGTTTAACTGGTTAAGACTGGTACTTGTTTTATCGAAGCTACACGTTTACAACTCCCCCCCCCCCCCCGGCACCACCCACCCCTGCACTTCCATGTGTAGTTAAGTCCACTTTTTTGAACTAACATGTAAGTGGTTGGTGATATTCTACCTAGTTGGTTATGAAAATTGGTTATTTGAATTGTTGGACATTGGGGTATCATTTTAAATTACCCACTGGTGTTTTTGACGTTTTTTTTACCTCAGTATATTAATGCTTGGCATGTTTTATAGTATTTACTATGTTACGTGGATTACAAGGAGTATGAATGGATTTCGTTCTTGATAGCAAAGATAAATATATTGCTATTGATCGATGAGGTCAGTAAGGTCAAGTTTCCTCTTCCATTGCTCTTATATCTTCCTTTTCCAATTTAGACGGATTTTGGGAAATATTCAAGTTATTTACTGTGATGAGAACTGAATATATAGCCGAAAATTTCTGAAAATTTCAATCCATTTTTTTTTGGGGGGGGGCTGTTGAAGGGAGAAAGGAAGTGAAAGGCATTAATGTTTTCATATTTGCAAATAGAAAAAAATTAATAGTACTTGAGTGGCGTGAGTGCAGTGTCCGTTTACTGTACTTTTGTCCTTTCTCTTTTTCTTTTTCTTCTTATTTTGATCTATTCCATAAAGATATGTGAAGCGTTTGATGCAGAGAGTTCAACAAACGAGCATATTTATTTATTTATTTATTTATTTATTTATTTATTTATTTATTTTTGACTTATTACCCAAAACACCTCATCTCCTACTAATCTACTCATCATGATTGCTCCCTTTCATCATTTCATCGTGGTTTTGAGTGTTTTAAGCAGTGAGAGATATCCATTATGGGCTGAGCCAGCCTGTTTTTATTGTACACGAATGTTTTTTGGTCAGTTACGCTTAGTTTTGTTCCAGCGCTCTTTGTCGCGTTTAACCAATGAATCGGAATATTTAGGCGGTGTTGGAGGTCGCCACTTGGAAAACATTTATGTCTTATAAACAGTGCTTTGTGCTCAGTCATTACACTCGTTGAACCCTAAACCGTTCAACTCCGGATTTACTGGTGTGTACTTCCTTCTAAGAAGTAACAGGATAGTTACCTATGATACCAGAAAACACCTTTATTTTTAAAAAAATATAGTTTTAGTGTTAATTTGTCAAATATTTCACCAAATATGGTCAAATGTAACCAAATACGGACAGATGTTAGGTCTTTTATTAAGTGGATCTTAGTTCGTGTATTTAAAGTGTATGTCTGGTTTATAATCTTTGCACTTTCTTCCAAGAACCCAGGGGTGAATTTTGTTAGTTTAAAATCACCAAATGAGTGTCACGGATATAGTTTTTGTGATACCCTACACCTTTAAGTGGAGCTCAGGCTTTTTCTCCACAGCACATTGTGTATTATTATCATTACCAGTCTTTTACCTCAACATTTGGCACTGTGATTTTTAAGTCTACACAGTCTTAATTTTGATTACTTCTTCGTTTTATACCCCTGTATTAAGAGTTAACATTTGTGTATTCTGTTTACATTAAGTTCAACCATTATACCATGGAGTTGTTTTGTAATTTGAGTTTGATATACTATTTATCGATTTAATAACTCAGGATTTTACTAGTATATTGACGTGGTACGTACTTCACGAAACGTTTTTAATTATGTCATTTCCGCCCACCACCAGTGCCTATGTAAGGCGCCGAGTTGTTTATCTGTATAATAACTACCCACATAAAATGATATACAAGTACTTTACATTTCAGCTCAAGAATCAGCAACGTACTTCTGTTTACAATATTAGATTTTTCATCAAGTGGGACGAAATGTTACAGTTGTTTGTTTGTTTGTTTGTTTAT